ACTAGTACTTTGATACTATGTTAATTTCAATATAGTGTAAGCGCCAATCTATTATTACACTGTACAGCACTCGGCTGGGTATTGGACCAAACCAACTTTTTAAAGAGATTGAGTCATTAGTAAAAAAGTATTTTCTCTGTTTTTCGAAGTTAGCCTCCGAAATCGAGATTTGGGCCTTCGAAGTTCGAATTTGGACCTTTGGTAAAAAATTATTTTTAATTATTGCATGTAAAAAGCAAAAAAAGTAAAAACACAGACGTGGTCCGCCTCTTGCTCAGTTATTTTTTCCTTTAAATATGGTTTTACTTAAATTTTTATATACGAAGTATACAAATATGCATATCAGACGAAAAGAGTTTAATTGCCTTTACAACGATACCAATTTTTTAAAAATCGGTTAGAATTTTTTAGTTTAAAATATTTCTTTTATAAAAAAGGTATTTTTTCTTTAAATGTGATTTATTTTTATTTTTTATACACGAAGTATAGAAATATGGATATCAGAATAAAAGGGGTTTAATCGCCTTTACAAAGATACTAACGTTTTAAAAATCGGTTAGTAATTTTTTTGTTTAAAATATTTTTTTTTAAAGAGGTATTTTTTCCTTTTAATGTGTTTTTTCTCAAATTTGTATATACGAAGGGATCTAATCATCTTTACAACGATGCCAATTTTTTTAAAATCTGTGAGTAACTTTTTTGTTTAAAATATTTTTTTTATAAAAAATGGTATTTTTTTAGTTATATTGTGTTTTTCTAAAATTTTATATTCGCGGTATACAAGTATGCATATCAGAAGAAAGGGAGGTTAATCAACTTTCGAAGACCTGAACTTTGACCCCTTATAGCACCTGTAATATAAGTTTGCACAAAAGAAGTGATATACCATTTAAATAAGAGCAAAAGGAGGACTACGTCTATATTCGAACTTCGAAGGCCCATATCTCGATTTCGGAGGCTAACTTGGAAAAACGGAGAAATCACATTTGTACCTATGACTCAATCTCTTAAAAAAAATTTTGTTTGGTCCAATACCCAGAAAAAACTTGATTTTGCCGTACAGTGTTATTATTATTATCGTGTACATCAAATTTAACGTTGTAAACAGGTGGTAACCTCGTTAAATTATTTTCGACCAATTTTTCTTTTTACTCTCTGCTTTTTTATGTAGATTTAATCTGATTTCCGATGACTTTTTTTGCTTTGTTGACATTTTTTAAACACACAAACAATATAAAACTCACAAATTCAAATGCTCACGCCAAAAAGAAATTCGGCGAATACCCGTAAACAAATTGCACTTGGGCTTGTTTTTGTTGCCAAACAAATGGTTTGTTTGAAAAATGTATGAGCCCAGAAAAGTTAACCCAAAAGTTAACGCTGAAATTCGGTTAACTTAGCCGAACGATTAACTTTTGCGGGAGTTAGCTTTTCCGCGATTCTACTGTAGTTAATGACTTTAATTAATTTTAAAATGAAACCGTATCAAGACAAATTCTATAAGTTTAGGAAAACTTATTTTGTTCTTTTAGTCCGTGAATATTAATTTTTTTTTAATTTAGAGTTTTTCTCTGATTTTCGTTGTAGTAAACAGTAATGGTGCAGCATTTACATGGTATGAAGCCATATGAACTGTTGATACGCTAAAATAGAGGGACTACATGTTCCAATGAGGAATTCAATGATATCGAGTGGGATGCATATAATACATTTTTTCATAAGAAAAGTTATGGGGAGACATATATGTAATACTCCTATATTGGCAGTAAGAGCTAGTACCGTCCGAAAACACTACAGTACAGATATATCAATAAACACGTACGAAAGAAAAGGAACACATACGTTTATAAATAAACATGTACACGACACATTTACAAAAACGGCACTCAAGTACACAATACATTGACAAAAACAGTACTAGACTGTCTCGCTTTGATTTCGGAATGCTTACACATTGAGATGTTAGCTTACTACCAATATAGAAGTATTACATATACAGAATTGGACATATCTATAGCACCCCCCTTTCAAAGCGATATTGTTTGCCACATATGTTTAATTATTTGTTTTTAAGAATTTTCAATTAAAATACAGTTCATTCTCTAACAAAACCCATATAAACCAATGTTTTAAGCTTTTTAAAAGACCGCAAAAAAGTGCAACAAACTTTCCCTTAAATTTCAAACTTTTTTCTCAGAAGCTCCAGAATTTTTTTGAGTACACAGTTTTATAGCGCATTCAATGTTGTCCAATAATGTGGAAGTTTCAAGTCGCTAAAGATAACCGTTGATTTTTTAGAATTTCTTTTCTCATTTGCTTCCATATAACGACTAAACACAATTTTTTTTTATATGGCAGAAACCCGCAACATCCTCGGCGAAAAAAATTCTAAAAAATCAACGGTAATTTTTAGTCACTTGAAACTTGCACATTATTAGACTAAAATTGAATGGGCTATAAAACTGTGTATTCAAAAAAATTCTACCGCTTCTGAGAAAAAAGTTTGAAATTTGGGTGAAAATTTGTTGCACTTTTTTGCGGTCTTTTAAAAAGTTTTAAACTTGGAGATACCGCACTTATTTCGGTACAATATGATCGTAATGTATTTTCAATTCGAAATCAAACAAAAACATCCCACGAAAATGTTTGCGATTTTAGAACCATTAGTGAATATTTGCAAACTACTGCAAATAATAGAGTGCCATATCTTACAAAGTTCAGAGTATTAACGAAACAAACAAGCATTTTATGGCTTCATGTTTCCTTCAAACCGCATTGCTATTTTTTCTAACTTTTCCTTTTGTTTAGCGCTGTAACCTATTAAGTCATATCTTTTAATTTATACATGTGAACTATTTTCAATGAGCATTTTTTCATTTTCTCCAGAATTTTGGGTACATTTTCTTATAGTACCTCTCATTCTTTTTTATATTACTTATATACACTCCGAAGTTCGGGATAGTATTTTGAATATACCAGCAATATATGTAAAAGTAGTGGCGGCTGCTGTAGAGCATTACGCAGAGCCTGAGTTCAAGCCCAGTTTTTCTAATAGTGGTTGCCCCTCTGTTGGTAATAGTAAACCTCCGAGTTTATTCTGTCATGGAAACAACTTCTCATTAAAATACAATTGCCGTTCGGAGTCGGCGTAAAACTGTCCTTTACTTTGTGTGACAAAATCACGCACGCCGCATATCGGAGGAGAAGCTAGGCCAAACGCTAACATATTGTTCAAGCGATATACATATTCGTCGTTTAAAGTACAAAAGCGCGTATCGTGGTTCTGCAAAACCTCGGAACTGAAATTTGTGCCAAAAAAGATATTTGGTCATCGGAAGCTCCTGACATTAAACCCTTAGCCATTTATAATAAAATATCGATATTATAAAATATCGACTTAGACATAAGGAGAGAAGATTATTAAGTTTAAAAGAGAGAACCGTTTTTAAAATTTAGGCAACCTCCCATACGAGGTTTTGCATTTCCTTGATGCGCGGTTTTGTGCTTTAAACGAAGATATGTAGAAGTATTGCATACATATTTTGGTGCCTTTTCAAGTATAAAATCCACTGAGAAACGGAAGAAAACGGCATCCCTATGATTTCAACTTATGCAATCCACAAGGCTTTATTGGCAGTAGGTCCTTTTTAAAGCACATTTAACAAAAAAATAAGCTTCTAGTTTCGAAGCTAGCACAAAATAAAATTTTTTTATTTGTTGTTTACAAAAAAAATATTGTCTAGTATACAAGTCAAAATTATTAAATATATATCGCTTTCATTCATTTCTTCATAGAGTTGGTGCTTCTTTTATAGGAAAATTCATACGGCTTATGAACAGATTCATACCATGTAAATGCACCATAACTTTCTGAAATAATTTTTCATGAAAGGTTTAATAACTCAGTCAATTTTTTATCGATTTTTGAAGATAAGCATTCGTTTTATTCGTTATTCAGCCATTTGAGGCAATTCAGGACAAGCATGATTTCTTTATAAAATAGTGCGCAAAAACATCGTCAAAGTTTTAAAAAGTACAAAACAATTATATTTTCCAGGCAAAGACACACAGATCTTTTAAGTTTTCTACATTACCCAATTCAAAATGTCAAAGATTCTTCTTTTTAAAACCGATAACAAACTGCAAATCCGTTGATTATCGGGTCAACTAATTTACAGGCTTTTATGGGCGCAAAGGTTCTCCAAACGGAGGGATGCTTGACAAATTTCATATTTCAATTTTCGTTATAATCGACCAGGCCTGCAAGAAAAATAACATCACAAATTGTGTAACATAAAAACATAAGTAAGTAAAAATCGGCTTCAGGCATTAAGTTTTTATTAATAGTAAAAAGTCGATCTTATTTTTGTTAATTTGGAATGTTACGACATTATTTCTTTACATACGAGTATATATGTATGTGTGTGCATTTATAAATTATTTTAAAGTTACACTTTATCTAGGGATTTTTACCAGGGACAAAAAATAACTGTTATCTCGAATTTGGAATTGAAAACGTTGCCCAAATTCTGAAATTTAACGAAAACGTTGTTTCAAAACAGTTATTAAAGAAGAAATATTTTTTCCGTTGCCGATAAGAGTTATTTCGTAACGTTTACTTTTTAAGTTGCTTGATAACTGTTATTGCCCGACGTTTATTTTTAACGTTGCTTGATAACAGTTACTGTCCGATGTTTATTTTTACGTTGTCGGATAAGAGTTATTTCACTCTCTCACTTTTATTTCATCATCTTTATCTTGTTCTCCATCTCCATCTTCATCAATATCCTAATCTTACAACGTTTAACAGACAACGTAAAAAATTAACGTTGTAAAATAACTCTTATCAAGCAACGTAAAAAAATAAACGTTGGGAAATAACTCTTATCGGCAACGGAAAAAATATTTCTCCGGCATAACAGTTATCATGTAACGTAAAAAATAAACGTTGGGCTATAACTCTTATCAACGAAATAAAAAATATTTCTCATCTAATAACTGTTATGGAGCAACGTTTTTGCGATAAAACTTATAACTGTTATGTCCCTGATTTTTACAGCGCTGATGCATAAAACAATGAAATTTAAATTCAAATATTTTGTCTTATACTGAAAACTTAAGAGTAAGTATTGAGAATAAATAATAGTCGGCATAAATACATACATAAATGTTATTCCACTGCGGCGAAACTTAAATGGAAATCAACGTACATACATACTATGTGTGTATGTAAGTAGTAGGCATCCCGTAACGGTGCTAGTTGCCTAGCATTTGCATGTTCTGCCATCCTGGCAGCCTTATTGTAAACCTCTTGTGTCTTCCATTTGCCCACTCCTTAAGGATACTTAACAATGGCGTTATTGTCGTCTTTACCTCCACTTGTCGCCCTTGACCCCAATTGTTGTTGCTGTTGCGGTTGTTGTTGCTGCTGCTTCCGGTGATGCTCCGGCCGCAATTGTTGATGCTGATGGAGGTGCTGTTGACTATCGCTATCTGCATTTGCCACACTTTCCAGCAGGTTTGACGTTGCTGCCAAAGGTGTGTCGGGGTTACGCAGGTGTGTACCGTAGTGCACACCGGCTGGATGAATAAAGTAGGGCAGTCCACCTCCTGTCACGGGCGCACCGATGCTGTCGACAACATCCTGTGGCGCCATATAGACAGCTGGTCGACTAATGAATGCCGGGAACGCTGGCGTTTGCTGGTGGGATGGCTGCTGAAGTTGAAGAGGTGTCTTCGCAACTAAGAGGCTTTGTGGGCTTAGCACGGCCGCTAACGATGATGGACCACCGCTGAATGGATGTTGAACGGGGTAAAAGTGGGACGGCGGTGCCGTCTGTGGCGCAAGTAATGCACTCGGTGTAGACAGTTTGACTAGTGTAGCTGGATGCTGTGTTGGTCCAATAGGGGCTTGAATGTAGTTGCCATAGTGGGATGGTGGCAGTGGAAGTTGTTCGGCGGGTGGCGCTTGCACGTAGTTGGGATTATAAAAGAATACTGGCGGCGCAGCTGCCAATGATGAATGAAATGGCAATGCAGTGGGTGCGTGTGGTGAGGCGGCTTGTGAAGGTATCGAGAGAGGTAACGACGATGATGCTGGGTCAGTTGCTGCGGAAGGTGGCGGTGTTGGTACCTGCTTCACCGTTGGCTTCGGTCGATCCTCATGTTGTTGTGGCTGAGGCTGTTGTTGTGGTTGCTGTGCGTTACGCTGCTCAACAGCGTGTGACTGCTGCTGATCCGGTGCTTGAGCTGCAATTGAAAATTAATAAGAGGAAAGTTCAATTTCTCTGCGTCTGCGATATAAACGATACGTATAGTGTATGTACTATGTTTGAACTTAATTACAAACTACAGTGAAACCCGCTTAAGTACCTAACCCGCTTAAGTTACCAACATTTTTGGGCACCGTGAATTTTTTAATGTAATCTCCCTCTCTTAAGTAACTCCCAGCTTATTTACCCAACCCGCCTACTTTACTTATAGTTTAGTTATAATTTTCCCCTTTTAGGGGCTCTTTTAAAATTTCTTAGAATATTCAGTCGCATTTGCTTCCATATAACGAATAAACACAATTTATTTTTATATGGAAGAAAACCGCAACACCTTCGGCAAAAAAAATTCTAAAAAATCAACGGTAATTTTTAGCCACTTGAAACTTGCACATTATTACACTAACATTCAATGGTTTATAAGGCTGTATACTCAAATAAAAACTTATGAGAAAAAAGTTTGAGATTTTTATGAAAATTTGATGCGTCTCTTTTTAGTATTCTACAAAATCTAAAGCTTAGGTTTATATGGTATTTTGGTGATAGGTAACAAGATCCACGAAAATAAGCTCATTACATTATTACCTTTTCAATAATAAAGTGAACAAAAATTTTGAAATAAATTCATTGACGCTATTTCCTCATTCCAATGGAAATAGCGTCAACAATAATTAAAGTATGTCGATTCACAGAAAAAAATGCTGTTCTTACAATAAGCATTGCCCCGTAAGTGTTGTTTTTTAATAGATAAACAAGTTTATTGCCAAATCCTCAGTGTGGTGCTATTAATCCACACACAATCATAAACTACCACCAATTGATTTTATTAAAAAATCTAAAATTACGAATATAGTAAAAACACGATGCGAAAAACCAAACGCAAAACGCAGCTGGAATACGAGATATATATGAAGAAAGAGTGTAGAAATGATCCAGAACTTGCAAAACATGTTTCGTTTCCACAAAACTATGAAATTGAAGAAACAGTCCGTGTCCGAAACCCCGGGGGAACACTGAAATAATTCTCTGTTTTAAATTAGCATATTTTGAACGAATTCGGAATGTATAGGGTGGAAAAGAAACCAACCTTTCTATAAGGAAACAGTTATAGAAAAGTAATTTTCTTACACTGTATTCATGTCTCCGCCAGCAATTTGTGACGACATCATTTAAAAGCAGCTAAGGAGAACGACGACACTATTTATTAGATGGCACTCAAGCCAATGTGCCAAAATACGGGTATAAACAATTATTGATTATTTAATATCGGAACCGAGATCATGTAAGTTAATTGATTGGTTTTCACACACTTTTGAAACACAAATTATATGCTTTTTTACTGCAGACCAGTTGTTGCTAAAACACAGCAGAAATCTTCCAATAACTTGCAAATATAAAAATGTGAAATATTGAGGGCTTAAATTCATTAATACCCTCTATCTGCAATTTGCACAAAAACTAATTTCTGATTTTAGAAACCAGCTGGGACTTATTACCTGTCATCACTGATATATTACTTCTGATTTCCAATTTATAAGGTCACGCGTCAAGCGTTATATAAGGTAGCATTAATATCACCGATGACAGTTAAATCTTAGGTGGATTTTTATATCAGAATCTCATCTTTGTGAAAAGTGTGCAGGTAGAGGGTATTATTGAACATAAGCTCTCGATATGTAAAATATATAAAAATACAACGTATACAAAAAATTAATCTACCTGCGTTACAGCACGTCAGGAGAGGGGTAAGGGGGTGGCGCGGCGTAGCGAGACGTGGTGTTGCGCGCCGGTCGCGCGAGGTACGTGGGAGGCGGGCCGCCGCGAAGCTAAGCAAATTTAATGTTTGAAAGAGCCATAGTGTCAATGGATTTTGTTGCGCTTTTGAAATGGTTATAGTCAATTGACTTTATTTCGCACCAGGGTGGGAAAAAAGTCAATTGACCTTATTTCCGTCACCGGTATTTTTATGGAAGGAACTGTATTTTTATTGAAACATAAAGATAATTACCAAACAATATCATTTTGAATTTGGTCCAAAATTATATGTCCAACACTGTTGATGTTTTATTCAAGGACTTATTTATGTAAGTTAACAAGAACATGTAACTACCAGGGACGGTAATCATTATGAGAAAAATAATTTAAATCAGCATTTAATCATTATTTTATGATTTCATTGATTTTGTTGTGGCAAATGTGTAAGCTGTTTTTGATAAAAATTTTTGTGCTGATTACGTATAAAAAAGGTTAAAGTCTACATCAGCTGCAAATTTTGAGAAAAACCAATGTTGACAACAGTCGTTGCTTGAGCTGATCTCATCTTTTGCCAGACTGCCAGGCAGTGATGGAATAGAAGGCACTTTTGGCACAATTCGTCCTGTTTTGGTACAATCATATGCTATAGAAATTTAGCATAATATGCCAATAGATAACAAAAAATCACATACTATATTATAGATAAAAAAATTACAAAAAGTGAAAATTAAAATCACTAAAAGATTAAAATAAGGGCCGTGAAGAATATTATCTGGCAGCTCTTGACAAAACGCTGAATTCTATTGTGAATACGCAGTTCAAAAATTAAGTTTTCGCTACAACAAGCTTTTAATTCAAAATTTTTAGAAAAGTTTTAAGTTTGCAGTTTTGTAGTCCATTAAATAAAAGTGAAAGTTTCTGCAAAATCCAGTTGATGTTTGAAAATTTTTTTTGCTCACGCTGTCACACATTTCCATTCATTTAAAAAATTTCCAGCACACTTTATATGGAAAAAATTAGTAAAATCGTAAACTTGGAATCTCTAGAAATTCTGAATTTTTATAATTTTTGTACAAAGTTTCAAATGCCGATTTGTATACATACATATGTATGTATGTATACGGTGTTTGCTAAATTATGAGTTATACTTTTATATAAAATCAATAAAATATTAATCAATGGAAAGAATAGGCGAAACTGGTCAAATATCTCATTGCCATTATTTTGTATATAGGTACATATGTGTGTGAACATGACAGAATAGCTACACATATGTATTTCGGGGCATTTCCCCTTCGTAATTGGAATACTGTGTTATTTTATTATGAATATTTATATATATATGTACATATGTATATCAAAGCTGCTTTCAACAGCGCGAAAAGAAGAGAAAGGAATGACTTCAGAAAGGCCTTTTGAAAGAGACTTTAATTCCTGAAATTATCTACTGCGTAGTATGAACTTACACTTGTTTGGCATTTGCCTGAAGATACAAAACTAGCTTTTAACAAAATAAACTAAACAGAAAGAAAATAAACTCACCAGATATTGCTCAACATGTTAGAAAAAATGTTTCATTATCGATTTTCGACTACTAATGACAGAAAGCTTAACGCTTTTTTTAAAGCAAAATTCTGCTCAAAATATGATAAAAAAAAACAGGCCAATTTATGTGTGGACCAGGCCACCAGGACAATTTGTTTAAATCAGGACAAATCCTGGAAAACCAGGACATCTGGCAGCCCTACCTTAGGGTTAAGGTTAAGGCATGGTATTTTAAGAGATTGTAGTCGAAAGTTCAGGGCTCGAATCGTAACATCCGTTCACGGATCGAAAACGATACGAAAGAAAATTACGTGATACGTCAGGCAGTATAAGCTGAATGGGCCAAAGAGTACGTTCACGTATGTCATAATCCGAAAAATGTGTTTTTACGTGACGAGTAGTATGACATCGTATGTGACGATTCGAACCCAGGCCTTAATTTGAGCCTAAGTGGAAGGCTATACCACCTTTTGTTTAATTGCTGTGGGTTCTCAAACTTCGCACAAAAGCAGGTTTTGCTGTTCATAGGGATAAATCGATACCATCAAGGTATTACTCAAATCAGTACTTGTACTTGTACCAAAAAAAGATATCGATACCTACTCAGTATCGGCAAGGCATCGAGTACTTATACATAGAACTACGATTTTGCATATTTTTCAAAGTTGTTGTATTTTCTTTCGTTTTCAAAAAAAAAAATAAATGCATTTTTTCAAGATTATTTATCTTTTAATACTTTTTTCATACAAAATTTTAAAACAACAATTATTTTTGTATAGTATTTGATTTAAAAAACAATATAATACATTTTTACAAGTTAAAAAAAAAAGTTTTTTCATATATACTAAGTTTTGGAAAAGAACTCTTTTTTTGTTATATTTCCCAAAAACATCAACTTTTCCAAGTGTTTTCCTGAAATGCGGTTTCGAGATTTTGATACAGTTGTACCTGTTTTTGAGAAAAGCCTCTCACAAGGAACAGATGACCCAACAACCTTTATGCTTGCTTATATTGCTGCGGAAATTTAGTGCGCATATCTTCCCATTCCTCTAATGGGTTGCTTTTCAAAGACGATGCTGAAGCATAATAAGTTTTGCGCTTCCGATACAAGTACTTTCGAGTAGTATAGAGTACAAAAGTATTTGGTAAATTGAGAAAAGTATCGGGTATAACTTGGATTTACTTGTATCGATTCCTCCCTAGCTGTTCAATAAATGACTATAAGTGACCATCAAGTCAAGGTGCAGGGATGGTATTTTCAGGGATAGTAGTCGAGACTTCTAGCTTTAATTTAAGCTTAATATATATTGCAAAAAAAGCTTTACGGCGATTACAACTTGTTGATTTTTTTGGTTAAGATTTAAAAAATAATGATTATTTTACGTCCCGGGTAACTACATCAATAATTATGTTCCCTTAAGTACCAGCATCGAGGTACTTAAGCGGGTTCTTTTAAGTATGCAACCCGCCTAATTACCTCAAAAATCTGAAAATTTTCGGGAGGTACTTAAGCGGGTTCTACTGTACTATACAGTATATATAATATTCGTACCCAAGGAGTGTGGATGGGCGGTATTTTGAGGTTCAAATACCCGTTAAACTTTTAAAATGAACGTTGTAGAGCAAAAGTAAAAACTTTAGGTAACCTAGTCAATACGTAAAAATGTGTTCAATGTTAAT